GAAAGCCCAGGGGCCGGGGAGATGGCTCAGTAGAATGAGTGCTTGCAAGCACAAGGGCCTGCGTGCAATCCCTGGTTCTGCAGAGAAAAAAAAAAAAAGTTGTTTTTTTTTTTTTTTTTTGTTTTTTTTTTTTTTTTTTTTTTTTTTTTTTTTTTTTTTGCACAACTGGGGATTGAACTCAGGGGATTGAACTGAGGCCCTTGTGTTTGTCAGGGAAGCGCTTATTCCACTGAGCCATCTCCCCGCCCAGAAAAAAAAGTTTTTAAGACAGAGTCTCACTAAGTTGCTAAACTGCTGGGGCAGGGTTTGCACTTGAACCCTCCTGTCTCAGCCTCTCAGAGTACTGGGGTCCCAGGCCAGAAACTACTTAAATACCATTCTGTCAATATTACTGAGAAACATTGTTTTCCCTTCTCACTTATGTTATAGTCAGAAAACTTATGTATGTTGGATTAGATGGGAAATGAGACATCCTTTATCTTTGACTTCACAATTTGGTAACTGTTATAGTATTTTTTTTTTTTTAAATTTATGTGTGTGTGTGTGTGTGTGCGTGCGTGCGTGCGTGCGTGCGTGCGTGCGGCCAGCTCAGCCCACCAGGGGGGGGGGCTGGCTGGCATGTGGTGCTGGAGGATTGAACTGTGGTCCCTGTGCTTTGCTAAGCTTGTTCTAAGTAGGTGCTTTAGGCCACTGAGCCATCTCACCAGCCCTTTAAATAGACTTTTAAAGTTCTCCCTGGTTGTTGGCTTTACCTCAGACTTTTAATTTATTTTTCTCTTCCTTAACATGATTGAGTGTGAGCAGGGTTGCCTGGGGCCTGCTTTCCCGTAGCTGCTCATCAGTTAGGAAGCAGGGTACAGTCTTTTAGTTTCCTTCTATTAAAATAGTGGTGAAGCCAGGCGTGGTGGTGCACTCCTGTAACCGCAGCGTTCCTGAGACTGAGGCAGAAAGGATTGCTATGAGTTGGAGGCCAGTCCGGGCTACATAATAAATTTAAGGCCAACCTGGACTACTAGTGACACTCTTACCTCAGAAAAACAGAAACAAATCAAAAAAAGTGGTGAATGATGTACCTGTGAGATGAAAGCTTAGTAGCTGACCATGTCATTTGAACAGATAAGATATTGTTCTGGAGCAGTTACTGTTTCACAAATGCAGAACCAGGAAAGAACCAGCCATAGGTTGCTTGAAATAACTGAAATCTGAAATGTAAAGTGGCTGCCACACCCACCAAGCAAAGTCTGAAATGTACATTAAGGTGGCTTCAGCGGTCAGCTCGTGTCCTTGGTTTTCATCTATAGAGACTGGGTAAGGTTTTTGTTGTTGTGTTCCCGAGTCCATGGATTTGCTAGAAATGCTGTCAGTAGGGCTTCCCAAACCTCGGAATGGTTAAACACCAACTATTGCATAGCTTTGTAAACAAAGTCCAGAATGAGCTGAGTGTTCGCTGCAGATTCCCAGGCCCTTCACTGGGGGAGGCTGAGCAGGACTGCCACAGCGGGGTTTCTAGGCTCTTCCGGAGCCGCTGCTGGGCAGATGGGGCAGACCCTGGGCAAGGATCTCCCTCAGCGTTCAGGTAGAAGAATTTGGTCAGGACAGAAGTGAACTGGCAGAGCTGACACAGTGGAGGACTGTGAGTCCTAAGGCAACAAGATAGTTTCCTTGATGCATTTAAGGATATTCCTCCAGTGAAAAAATGGAATGTCTCACCAAGGAAGGCTAAGTTTTTATTTATTTATTTATTTATTTATTATTTTTTTGCAGAACCAGGGATTGAAGTCAGATCCTTGCGTTTGCCAGTTAAGTGCTTATCCTACTGAGCCATCTCCCCAGCCCCTAGGCTAAGTTTTTAAAATGAACATTGCTTCAGAATAGCTGTTGGTGAAAGTAAAGCTCAGTACTCAGCAGCGATAGGCGTGGCATTCCTTTGCAGCTGGCCAGTGGCAAGGGGCACAAACTGGCTCTCTGTCCAGATTCATCCACCTCAGGGAAGACCATCCCATGCCAACCTTAGAGACCTTAGATTCTGAGCGCTGTGTGGCTGCCCTGTCCTGGGCTCTGAGGGAAGGAGCTGTCCTGTAGAATGTGTACTTCCTTTGTCCTCATAAAGGAGAGAGGCCAAAGTGTCCCAGCTATCAATGATTGTAAGGGAACTGTGGAGTTGGACTTTGAGGGCTGGATGTGGGGCATGGAGAGACAGGACCATGTGGGCTGGCGAGACAGCTCAGTGAGATAGCTTAGCGGACTAAGCACTTGCTTCAACGAGTGCAGGGATTGGGGTTTGATCCCTGGCACCACTTGCCATGCCAGCATGCCGAGCCAGCCACCGAGTCTGGGTGTGGTGGTGCACACCTGTAATCCCAGCGCTGGGGAGGCTGAAAACAGGAGGATCACTGTGAGTCCGAGCTGCATGGTGAGACCGTGTACCAAATACATTTAAAAAAAAAATGCGAATTAAAGCTGTGGGCCAGGGAATGGCTCAGTAGAATAAGCGCTTCCCTGGCAAGTGCAAGGGCCTGAATTTAATCCCCGATTCTGCCACCAAAAATAAATAAATAAATAAATAAATAAATAAAGTGGTGACTTTTTCACTTTTTGGTTTCTATAATCTACTGTTGTTTGACCCTGTGTTTTTCCAGAGCAGCTCATGGCCATTTTCTTGGGAAGCCATTTTCTTTTCAGTTATCACCTGGGTTTATTGGATTGACAAAAATCTGCCTTATTTTTTGAAATACAGGGGCTGGGGAGATAGCTCAGTAGAATAAGTGCTTGCCCGGGAAGCGCTTATTCTACTGAGCTATCTCTCCGGCTCCTCATACTTCTTGCAAGTAGTATACTTAATTTTCTTTTTTTTTTTTTTTTTTTTTTTTTTTTTTTTGCCAAACTGGGGATTTGAACTCAGGCCCTTGCCAGACAAGTACTTATTCTACTGAGCTATCTCCCCAGCCCTATACTTAATTTTCTTCTTTCAAAAGAATTCGCAACCATTTAACTAAAATCATTTTAAGACTTTTGTTTTTGTGGTTTAACAATTCTCATAGGATTCATAGACTTTTTTCCCTATATATCTCCAGCCTTTTTTTTTTTTTTTTTTTTTGGGCAGAGCTGGGTATTGAACTCAGGCCCTTGCGCTCGCCAGAGAAGCACTGATTCCACTGAGCCATCTCCCCAGCCCCTCTCCAGCCTTTAAAAAAAGTCATTTTATTTTGAGATAGTCTCACTTGTGTAGTTCAGGTTGGCCTTGAACTCACAGTGTAGCACAGGCTGACCTGGAACTTGGAGTGATCCTCCTGCCACAGCTTCCCAAGTGCTGGGTTACAGGTGCATCTCCCCCCGCCTCCCCTGTAGTCCTCACTTCCAGCTGCATCAGTGGCCCTCTTTCGTGTCCCATCTTTTTTGCTTGCCTCCCTCAGCAGCAAAGCAGTGAAGAGGAACGCTGATGGACAGTAGCTCACTTAAAGGGAAGCTTTACTGTTCAGCTATTAAATTACTGTTTTATTAAAATAAAATTTGGGCTGGGGAAATGGCCTAGTGGAATAAGCTCTTCCCTGGCAAGTGCAAGGGCCTGAGTTTAATCTCCAGTTCTGCCAAAAAGAAATTTAAAAAAATTTTAAAATAAAATAAAATTTATAGGGCCGGGGAGATGGCTCAGTGGAATAAGTGCTTCCCTGGCAAGCACAAGGGCCTGAGTTCAATCCCCGGTTCCGCTAAATAAATAAATAAATAAATAAATAAATTAAAATAAAATTTATTTTAAGCTGTTTCCTTAAAACTTTATAAATCCTTTTCCTTGTTTCTGACCCATGTTTGGCTGCTTCTGTGCATCACTTTCACTGGTCTTGCTAGATGGGCTGTCCTGACCAGTGGAGGGCTAACCTAGAGGCAGGCCCTCAAGTTTTTGTTTTGCTCATATCTTGAAATTTGTTTCTAAAATAACTAGTAGGATGATGTGTGGCTGCAACACTTTAAATTGGCACAGAGGTGACCAGTGTTCATGCTTTCGTTGCACTTGCCTGTCTGATGCTTCCATGACTGTTTGAAGTTGGGTCCTTGCACACAGCACCCCTCGGGCTCATCTATCTAGGCTTTAGATTTTTGTCACCTCTTAGTCCACATGTGCTGGTGAGGCTGGCCTATATGCAAACGACATCCCCAAGTACAGATTCACTACCAGCTGCATTTTGTGTCAAGCCCTAGGGATGTTTCTTCCTTCTTTAACACTAATGTTGAGATTCGTCAACCAGAGGAATTGGAGTTTATTTCACTCTACAGTTTTTTGGATATTTGCCTTCTACTGTTAAAAACCTCTTAACTTCTATAAACAACCAAGGGGCAGAGCTGTGGCCAGGCAACATGAGCTCATTTTGTATTAATGATGGATAGAATTATTAATCCTAAATTCTAAATTGGGATTTGGGGGAGTTTTTGATCCTCTTTTCAGTAATTCCAGTGCAAGTTCAAACTTGACTTCTTAGAACATCCTGTTTATCACAGAAGAAACGAACACACAAAACCCATTTTCTGTGAGCAAAGCAAGCATGTGGGCTGATGCCCGTTGAGTTACTTGGGTGCTTTGTACGTCTCTCAGTGGTCACGGTGAATGCACAGAACTTCCCCAGGGGGAATCTGGCAGAGAGCAAAGAGGCGCCTTAGGATGCAGTCTTCATTGTACATGATTTCATCATTTTCCAAGACTGTGGGAGAGTTTGTGGTATTTCTTAAAACACTTTCTGAAAAAATGTTCTTCCCCATTTTCAGAACTTGTGTTGAGAAGTGCAGCGAAGGGTTGCGTGTGATGTTGCTGCGCTCACTCCTCTTTGAGTTCACAGTAGAGGCGGATTAGGAGGGCTTCCCGGAGCCCGGCTGTGCCCGCCTGTGCGACCTGATCATTACACATCAAGCAATTCAGGGCTAGAGTGGAGCAGAAGAACTTGTAATGGCCTGCGCCCCCCGCTTGTTACAGTCCTCACAAAGCTGTGTCTGCTCCCTTCCCTTTACAGAGTGCTGACCGGAAGAAAAGATGTTTGGTTTTCACAAGCCAAAGATGTACCGAAGTATAGAGGGCTGCTGTATTTGCAGAGCGAAGTCCTCCAGTTCTCGATTCACCGACAGTAAACGCTACGAGAAGGACTTCCAGAGCTGTTTTGGGTAAGAGCAGCTGGTGTTTGCGCTGTTCTTCGAGCACAAACAATCACAGCCTAGGGTTATAGTTCTCAGTAAAGCAATTGGGAGCAGTGTGCTAATAATTAAAACTTACATTTTATTCCAGGATACTGAAGGCTTCTATTCTTAAAATGAATCAAACCATACCAACAAGCTATTTCCTACAGATTAGTAGGAGCTGCTAAATTGTGAAGGCTCTTGGCTCTAACTAGGCAACGCGTTTTGCTGTGAATTTCGGGATACATCAAGGGATTCTTTTTTTTTAATGACCTTTATTCCCTCTTGCTAGTAAATCATGGTATGGATTTTCTAAACAGTAGAAATATATTTTAACCTAAGTTGCTGAGGAAGATCATACTAGGACTTAAAGTTCTGCCCAGAAACCTATCAGGATATGTTAGCTTTTATGTCATAATTTTATTTCTCTTGGTGGTAAACCTCTCGTTAATAACGTGGAATTTATTTTCCAACAAATGCCTGAATAAATGTGTAATGCTGAACCATTTACTATTAGAAATTAATTTACTCACTTATCAGAACATTTATTGACCATTTACTGTGGTTTTTTTTTTCTTAACTTATTTATTTGTGTGGGTGTGTGGCCAGCTCAGCCCACCAGGGGCGGGCTAGCTGGCATGTGGTGCTGGGGATTGAACCGCGGTC